GGGCGGAGTTGCCACATCTGGATAGAATCAACTTTGTATAACAAAAGCCTTGAGTAAAATGTCAATTTACTCCTCATCCTGCTAATTGATGCTGTGTGTGGTTCTCTTTCTCCCTGACTGCTGTATAAATACATTTTAAAAGCACAGCTGGATTCCTGTAGCCTTAGACAGCATCCTCAAAAGATGTAAAATATCAAGAGTGGTAGGAATCTCTCCCATTTTTTAGGCACAACTATTCAGATAGCAATTTATATAGTTCCACTAGTTCCCAGCTAAGGGAGCCCTGGTGGCCTAGTGATAAGCTGTGCTGCAATCCCAGAGGCACACAGTTTGAATCCTCCAGCAGCTTCGTGAGAGAAAGATGGGCAGCCTTTTCTCCCTGTGGGATTTACTGCCTCTGGAAACCTCATTGGAGGGTCAGCTAAGAGTTTGTTCCTTCTCGACAGCATATAACAACAGTTTCCAGCTAGTGACAACTCAGTTTGAGACAAATTCCATAGGGATTGAGTGGAGGAAAATGCAGCCATCATCATCATCTTAATCCTCACCACTGAGGCGAGCCTGGGGCTGCTCGTACCCTTTCATTTCCCAAGATTTAGGATTCTTTTTGAAAAAGCTAAGGGGAAAATATTCTATTTAAAGGAGAAGGAAAATGTTAGACTGCTTCTTTAAAGTTTCTCTTTGGCTAAGCATCTGTAAAATGGATATGTGTAGGTTCCTGATAGGTAAACGTTTGCAAACATCACATCTTTTTGTGGCTTGAGGAGGAATATGGGAGAGTGGTGGAAGCATGAGGTTTGTAGCCGGGCTGCTTGATTTTGAATCCTGACTCCACTTGCTTACTTATGACCTTGGTCAAGGTACTTGGCCTTTCAGGACTTTGCTTTTAGCAAATGATGAGGGTAGTAAAAATACATACCTCCTTCATACATCCTTTTTGACACACTGAATATCAGGACCAATGACCAGACAAATTGTAGGATGACATCAGGGACGTTATGCATGAAGAAAGATATCAGAGGAGACTCTGAAACTTGCTATAGAACTTGGAGAAGCTAAGGTGAAAGGAATAAGGATGAAGTAAAAGAGCTGAACAAAATATTTCCACATTCTTTGGAAATTATCGAACAGTGTCATCAATGTCATGTGCAGGTAAAATTATGCTGAAGATGATGAAGCAGTTGTAGCAGGACATAGACTGGAAGCTACCAGGAATTCACACTGGATTCGAAAAAGGTTGGGGAATGATGGTTATTGTAGTAACAGCTTAAATATTAAGTATTAGAGAAGCCATTTTGTTCTGACAGCTATTTTAAGAAATGTATTCCTTAATAATTTCAGCAATAATATGTGTTGGTTTATGCTTCTTAGTATATGCTACTCCCTGACTCCATCCTAAACCTGCCAGGACACCCCTGAGAAGTCAGAAATAATCACAACTCCTGAATGTAAAAAAATCTCAACTGCCAACCACAGTGAACTTTGTGTAACCCCCATCCCATCTCTGTATAGAAACCCAATCTTTGCTTCCCCTCAGGGTTGGAATGGATTAGGCAATAGCTGACATTCTTTTTTTTAAAAAAAAATTATTAATTTTAATGAATGTTTACAGAGACTTTGGATTTCCATTCATTTGTTGTTGCACTTTTCTCCCTGCCCACCCTTCCTCCCCAGTTCACTTTTCTCTCTGAAAAGTAAAAGACAAATTCTTTCATTGTTATACAATTCCTCCCCGCAAGTCCACTCCACTATGCAGCCTTCGTTCTGGACTCCTGTCATGACAATAATATCTAATCATAAATCCCTTTTAAACAGTTATTTCCCTCATCTGTTTCAATGAAGTATACATTATTTATCCCCTCTTTCTCAGTCTCCCCTCAACCCCGATGTCGGTCTCATTTTACAGCAATGGCCCTATGCAGTGTTTGTTTTTTTGTGACTGAGATATTTCACTCAGCATGATGTCCTCCAGGGTCATCCATTTTGTATAGTATTTCATGAGCTCCTTATTTTTCAATGCAGTGTAGTATTCCATTTTGTGAGTATACCAGAACTTCTCTATCCATTCATTTGTTAATGGGCAATTGGGTTGTTTCCAACTCTTTGCTATTGTGAAGAAAGCCACGATAAAAATGGGTGTGCATATATCTGTTTGGGTGGCAGTTATGGTTGGTTTCTTTAGGGTATAATCCCAGTATTGGAATTGCTAGGTCAAATGGTATTTCTATTTGCTGCTTTTTGAGAAAGTGCCATACAGCCTTCCATAGTGGTTGCACCATTTTACACTCCCATCAGCAGTGAGTTTCTCTACAACCTTGCCAGCATTTGATGTTTGCTGTTCTGTTAAATTTTGCTATTCTTTCTGGGGTGAGATGATAGCTCATAGTTGTTTTGATTTTCATCTCTCTTAGAGCTAGGGACCACACAGCTTACTTGTGGTCTCTGTGAAGCTGAACACTGTGACACTGATGTGTCAAATGCAATAACAGTTACCCATGGTGGACAGTGTTTGGTGGTGCTCCCCTGTTGAAACAAGCTTAGAAGCAGGAGTGGCTTCCACTTCCGTAAATAGCTTGCCTCCGGAAACCCTGTGAACCTGGAGAAAGGATGAAAGTCACTCACGCAAGTGTTGAGGACTTTCGTTCATAGGGTCGCTATGAGTCGCCTACGACTCTATGGCACTTAACAACAACAAAAACAACAGAGCTAGGGATTTTAAACATTTCTTCATGTGTTTGTTGGCCATCTGAATGTCTTCTTTGGTGAAATGTTTGTTCATATCCTGTGCCCATTTTTCAATTTGGTTATTTACCTTTATCTTCTTGTGGCGCTCGTTCTTGACCCACACGTAATTAAGGTTTGTTAATCTCCAGTATTGGCTGAGTGTTTAGATCTCGCATTTTCTGCTGTAATAATATAATTGTGGAGAGCAGGTGAATGTTGCCTGAAAATATCTCTAAAGATCTCCTGTTATTTATTCATTATACAGAGGCATTTGACTGTGGATCACAACATTCTAGATAACATTGCAAACAATGAGAATCCCAGAAACACTTAATTGTGTTCATGTGGAACCAGTACACAGACCAAGAGGCAGCTGTTTGGGATAAGGGGATACTGTGTGGTTTTAAATCAAGAAAGGTGTGGGTCAGGGTTATATCCTCTCACTGTACATATTCATTTTGAATGCTGAGCAAATAATCCGAGAAGCTAGGGTTTACAAAAAAGAATTCAACATTAGGATTAGAGGAAGCACCATGAACAACCTACAATATACAGATGACACAAACTTGCTTGCTGAAAGTGAAGAGAACTTGAAACACTGCTGTTGAGGGTCACAGAGTACAATCTTTAGTAAGGGTTGCATTTCAACATAAAGGAAACAACAGTCTTCACAACTAAACTAGTAAGATTAAAGTTGTCAAGGATTTCCTTTCTTTGAACCCACAGTCATTGCTCATGGACACAGCTCAGGAAGTCAGACGATGTATTGCATTAGGCTAATCTGCAGCAAAAGGCTTCTTTAAATTGTTCAAGAGCAAAGGTAGACAAAGTCACTTTGAGGCCTAGGGCACACCTGGTTTAAGTCCGAATATTTTCAACTCCCTCATGTACATGTGGAAGGTAGACAATGAAAAAGGAAGGCCTACATTTGAGGAGTTTTGGTGGCCTAGTGGTAAGAAGCTGCACTGTAATCCCAAAGGCAAGCAGTTTGAGTCCATCAGCAGCTCCGTCAGAGAAGGATAAGCACTGTCCTGTAGGATGAAACTGCCTCTGAAAACCCGCGGGAGGGTTAGTTCTGGGTTGTTTTTGATTCCAAGGCACACACCACCACCACCACCACATTTGAATTATGCTGTTGGTGAGAAATATTAGATATACTGTTGACTGCTGGAAGAATAAACGGATCTGCCTTGAAAGAAATAGAACCAGAATGCTCCTTAGAAGCAAGGATGGTAGTAGGACTTCATTTCAAGTCCACAGTACAAAGAACGTGGACTCCAAACTAGTAGCGATTGTGAGGATGGTGAGAAAGCAGCTAGTGCTTTGTTCTGATACAGACTCAGCAGGAAACAACCACACTTCCTAAAGGTCTGTGACAATCAGATGAAGTTCCAGAAGGTGATCCTTTCAAAGCATTGGCACAATGCCTTGTCTGCCATAAGCATTCAGAAAATGATCACGTTATTGCTGCTTGGAAATTGCATTTGTGGCCAGGGAAAAGGCACTAATGTGGAAGTAGAATGTACTTGCTTAACTGGTGGTTTCCAGTCCTAGCTCTGCTACCTCTTTGTGTGATAAACTTTTTAGGTCTTCATTTTCTCATCTACTAGAAGGACCAGTAATGTGTTTTCTCTTAAACAGCGACCTGAGCTCAAATGTGGTTGTGTAATACTTTGAAATATGTAAAGCATTAGTTGTTGTTGTGGATTGTGGAGCTGGAACCGACTCATAGCTGAACCACCAGTGGATTTTCAGAGGCAGTCAATCACACGGAAGGAGATTGCCTGGCTTCCTCCCTCGGAACAACTGGTTGACTCAAACCATGTACCTTTTGGGTTGGCTGCACAATTCCTTACCACTGAGCCACCAGAGCTCCCTAAAGCATTACTAGTAACGTATGAGTTGTCGCACTGGGAGCTCTGGTGGCCTTGTGGATAGAAAGTTGAACTGAAAAACCAAAGAGGATCCTCTCTGGAGGTTTGAAACCAATCTGCTCCCATGCAGTTTACAGCCTGGGAAAACCTGCTAGAGGGTGAGCTATGAGTCAGTTCCAACTCCCAACTCACAGAAATGGCTGATAAAGCATTAAATGCCAAATTTTATTACTGCTTTTATTGTAGGAGGGTTGGTGATTGTGGATAGTAATGCTGTTGTTGATAACAATGGATCATAGTTTTAAATGCTAAAAACACTGAGACTATTACTCATGGCAGTAATTTGTATGCATTGCAAGTACACATTTGCTTAGAAGATAACATTTGATGCTTTCTTCTTAGAAACCTTGGAGAGCTGATAGATCGCTTTGTGGCTGATTTCAAAGCCCAGGGTCTCCCGAAGCCCAACACCGATGAAGGAGGTGCTGTTCTGCCCAGCTGTGCTGACCTCTTCGTTTACTACAAGAAGTGCATGGTACAGTGCTCCCAGCTCAGCACCGGCGAGCCCATGATCGCGCTGACCACCATTTTCCAGAAGTACCTCCGGGAATACGCCTGGAAAATCCTCTCTGGCAACCTGCCCAAGTGAGTCCTGGTCTTTACAGGGTGAACAGTCAAACAAGGCTCTAAATAGGCCTAAATATGGGAATCTTTAAGGAAATCTACTGTGAAGTGTTTACTGAACTGCTAAGAGTATCAAGGAGGAAAACACTGAGCTCCTGAGAGTCTGAAACTCATTCCTCTCTGCAGCTGATCAAGACCATTAGAGGAAATGCCCACGCTGACCGTCAGTGTAGGTCAAATATTACCACAAGGGTCTCAAGGGAGTCATTCCGTTATGCATGTATTTCAAGTTTGTAGATTCAACTACAAGCACTTTGGGGGGTGGGGGAAGAGGCTGATGTGGGTAGCTACAGAATAGCATGGACCATTTCATTCATCCCAGGGAGAGCATGTCTTAGTTAGATGGGAGGCAGAAATACAGCTGCCCCTCACACGGTTTTGCCTCCAGAGCCTCTCTGATGTTGTATCTTGCTATGCTGGGTAGGTTTTGATGTTGAAAGATGTAATGGGTTTGGGAGTAGGAAGGAGTAGGGGATTATACAGCATGGCTCCTAGTTATAGTAGCTCTTCTGAATTATTTATACGTTAGAATATTATCATATAGATTAATGATATGAGTGGATCATTCGACTAGAATCTTTAAGGTGATGATTTTGATAGCAATAGAGTATGGTCTAAAGTAATATTTCCTAATTTAATATTTACACCATCTCTATGACTAAATTTAACAGTCCTGCAATTTGTTTCTTTTGTTGTCACTAAAAAATCTGTCACAAATAGGAGTTTGACATTATTTGGAAGGAATGAAAATAAAATCCCTATGCTTTAGGGATTTGAGGTGAGAGATGTATATTAGTGAGAACTTTTTTGACTGTGATAAAATTAATTAAAATTTTTCTGTAACATTAGTCTTGCTTAACAAAATAATGCAAATTTGTTATATCTTAGAAGACACAGAGAAGTCCAAAAAAAAAAAAGAAAAGAAAAATCACCTATAATCTCACCACCCATAGATAAAAAATTTTCAAGTTTTTTGGCATATATTCTTTATTCTTTACTTGTACGTGTAATGAGTGTGAGATGCATTCTTGGTTGAGCAGAACTGGGGCTATATGCTGCTGGTTTCACTTAGCATCATTCCTTGAGCATTTTCCTGGGTGTTAGTCACTGTCCTAGCGGGAAGCAAATAGCATATTCAGCTGAGGTTTTGTTAGTAAAGAGGTTGGTCACCAAACCCAGGGCAGGGGGAAGGGGAGGTAGGGCTTTGAAGCATCCAAATACAGTGGGTAGTTAGTTGTACTCCCCCAGGAACTTGGTGGAGAGTTGAGGTTATGGGAGAGGGGCTGTCCAACTGAACTGTAGTCACAGAAGGACACAGCCCCTGCCAGAGTCACAGTGAAGCAGAGAAGGAACAAGGGGGCCATCAGGCTTTGGGCAGGAACTTTTGTACCCATCTGCATGTTAACATAAATGCTCTGCAGAAGAGAAGGATTTTCTCTTTAAGAATTTCTTTAAATTGTGATTTGAGTGCAGTTTACAAAGCGTACAGGCTTTTCATTTAATCATTCAATCACTTTTTGCTCTATAGCATCAATTTCTATCTCATTGCAGGCGGAATGGACTTACAGCTGACCCTCCAGCAGGTTTTCAGAGGCTGTAAATCTTTCTTCCGGTTGAGGTGAACTGCCTGCTTTGTGTTTGGCAGTGCAGCTCTTTACCTGTTAGGCCATCATAGCTTCCCGTTGAATTACTCTACCCACATTTGCTCATGCTTTTCCCCAGTTCCTTCCTCCTACTTCTGATTTCTTTTAATGCTTCTGTCCTACCCCTTCCTGCCTTCAGGGCTTTATCTTTGAGCAGATCTTATCTGGTTGGTTGTTCTAAGGAGTGAATGCCTCCTTGACATTATTGTTAACTTTACAAGCCTGTCTTTTGTTTTCCTCAAAGTTCAGCTGTGAGGGTGAGTTTTGTTCCAGGTTTAAAGGTGACAAGTCTCTATTGGACCAGTAAAGACGCCCTCTTTACATTTTTTGAGTTTTGTTTCACATTTTCCTCCACCCTACCCAGGATCTTCTACTCTGATCCCTTTGAGAATGGTCACTGGTGAAGGGTGTGTCTTCTTAACAGAGAGAAACAATTGGGAAATTTGCTTTTGTGCCAGAGATGATCCTAAATGAGAAAATTCCTAACTAAGGAGAGGGGCAGTTCTGCGTCCTTCTCTGAGTTTCCAAGTCACTCACTTCACTCTGATTACTGGCTGACTCTTATAAGTGTCTCTTCCTCTTTCCAAGGGTCAGAATTGAAACATAGTCAAGGTAAGGTGAAGAAAGAGGGTTCATTGTAGGTGAATTGCTTTGGGCTGCGTCCAGCATTTCCTTTCCCCCTTTGCTTTGTGCTGGGATGTGCAGAATCAAATGAGAGCAGGAGGCAAATTAGAAGTCCCAGCCTGACAGGATTTCTGTTCCTTTTCCTCAGAACCACAAGCAGCAGTGGGGGGCTGACCATCAGCAGCCTCCTCAAGGAAAAGGAGGGCTCTGAAGCAGCCAAGTTCACGCTGGAGGAGCTGTGTCTGATCTGCAGCATCCTGAGCACAGCAGAGTACTGTCTGGCCACCACCCAGCAGGTGAGCCGCCCGGGTCTCGCCATCATTTACCACTTCTCTCTCCTAAACCACACAGGCCACTTAGCTAAGGGGAGTATGGGACCTAACATGGCCCAGGGTGTCAACTTCGGACAGACACGTTAGCCTCCCACGGAGGGAAACTTGCCACGTAACTAGAAAACTGCCCACACAGCCATCTTAACAGAGGGACCTTGTTCCCAGGAAGCCTGGGCAAAGGAAGCATGACTGGTATGAGGGCATATCCTCCTAAAAGTAGGTCAGTAGCACTGTTTCTGTATGAGAAAAGCAGCAGCAGATTTAATGGGACCCAAGCCTTTGGTGGCAGTGAGTCACAACCAGTTATTCCATTCTCAGAGCATATAATTAAGCTAAGCATAAGCCTTTGGGTTTTTATGTGTCTCTTGAAATTTACGTAGCATTCTCAAGGTGCCTAAATAAACAACCATTGTTTGGGACACTGACGTTCAGGAACTGCGAGGCAGGAAATGGTGATACCTCTTTTGGAGCCCCCCTAATGGCAATAGTGCAGTGAACGGATTTAACAGAAGGAAGACCCAGAATAACTTTCTGTTCTGCCATGGTCGTGGGATTAGAAGTTCCTTTTCACATTTAGTCTGGAATGTACCCCAAGCCTGGAGAGAGAAAGCAGTCTGGAAAAGTTCTGCTCTGTCTCCCGTTTTGGGTTTATTATTTATCCATGTCTAAAACATAGGGAGCACTGGTGGCCCAGTGGCAAGAAGCTGCACTGCAATCTCAAAGGCATGTGTTTGAACCCACCAGCTATTCCATGGGAGAAGAATGGGTAGTCTCCTCCTGTGCGATTAACTGCCCCTGCAAACCCTCTGGAGGGTCAGCTTTGTGGCAGTTCCGACTTGATGGTACACAACAACAGCAGAACATAGGAAGACAGTCATGAACAGTTGTTGAGGCAGTAGAGCTGAGAGCTCCCAGGAGCCAGTGCAAGAGGCAACGTGACCTTCCACAGTTGTCATTCAGCCAAACAGAGGTGGAGGCCGGAGCGTGCTGTTCAGAGACGTGGGAACTTTGAGTTCCCCAGGTAATGACCTGTGAAGGTTTGGCCTTGGAGCCAGAGTCTGCCATCTGGTAGCCCCAAGAACCCCCAGGCAGGCCAGCAGTACTGTGGGCACACCCAAGGCAAGGTTGGCAGAGTTTTTTGACAAAGAAACAGTGTTTTAACTATTTTGTGCATTTACAAAAGAGAACAACATAGAACCTTTTAAGTATAGTCTTTTAAAAGTCATAGGACGTAAAACAAACCAAATTCTGTCCACTATGAAAGCATTGAGTCTTGATCTATGACCCTTAACTAATCATCTTTACACTCTATTTTCTTTCAGTCATTTTTCATAAACATAGTTTTATGTTCTATAATATTAATCCAGTTTTATATCCTATTTTGGCTGTTAATATCAGAATGTGAAGATTTCTTTTCTTGCTATAATTCTCCGATTACCATCAGTATTAATGACTGCAGACTATTCCATTAAGGTACTTAAGGTACTATACCATAAATTAGATAATACTGTTTCTGAACATTGCACAGCTTTACGATTTTGCTTTTATAAGATTCTGTATCTAGAAATAAACTTTCAAAGGGCATTATTTCTGGAGATAACATCTTACAATATTTTACATTCTTTTTCTACAACAGATTCTTAGAAGTTCTAGCAGTGTCAGTAAATCCAAAACCATTTCGACGATTCGTGATACATGTAGCCAGTGTTTTGTTTTTTTATTTAGTAAAAATTGTTTTTATTGACTATAAATACATATTTTGCACTGATACTGTGACCTCTAAGTATTTTTCCAGCAAAAGGATCCAGAGATTCCTGGAGAAACCACCAATTTCAGGTCTGGGTAGTGCGGTCAAATGTGGTTTTTAAAATTGTGACCTTTTGCCTTGATTCTTTGGAAAAACAGCTTGAGAGCTTTTTCCTCCCCTGCTATTAAGTCTTGAGGAGTTACCTTTGCCCTAGTTTCTGCCCACAGGGCTTATTTCTTTTCTCCAGGTTGATTGACATTTCCCTGGTAAGCTACAGTTTGGGTTTTATCCTTTTTTCGTCTGCCCTGTGCTATAAACTGCCCTGTGGTTAGGGTGCACCTGGTCTGTGGATTGTGCGAATGAGCTGCCTGTGGTCTTCTGTTCCAGTCAACTGTCTATGGCCCACCAGAATGGAGTTGGTCAGTTTGTCACCCTGCTGACCAGGTATGCCTTGAAATTGACAAGAAATGTGTACATATAAACAGTCAGTTCCACAGAAGTATTTTTAAGAGACAGAAACAGGAAAAGAAACAGAAGAGGCCAACATGAATTGGAAATTATAAGACTGAAGACAGTGAGAGATCTGAAAAAAGCCTGGTGGTGAAGCCACTGGCAACAGATGGCAGGCCAAGAGGGGTGTGTCCTAAGGGACCCTAAGGAGGACTGTCTGAGAGGAGGCCTGTCATCAGCAGACCAAAAAGAAGCCTGAGCAAGGCTCTGGGGGAGCTGTCCTTCACTGAGGAAGGGTGAACTAGCCTCCATGCTTCTTAATTGTGATCTCAAGTTGTGTATTGCAGATTCTTTAATAAACCACCTAACTACAACTGTGATCTGTGAGTTCTTTGTGGTTACTGCATAGGACTCACTAACCCACTAGAGAAGTAGAGTGTTGCAGAAGGGGTGGCTGATGTCAGAATTGGCAAAAGAGGTGAGAGGGTGACAGTCTGTCTGATGTTCACCTCATGGAACTCACCGTTGGCTGCTTTGAGTGCAGTTGTGTCCCACAGAAGAGGCGTATCTAAGTTCTAACTTGCTGGTGGGCCCTGAATCCAGTAACTGGTGTTTTTACACACAAAAAAGAGAAGTTACCATATGAAGATGAAGGGGACAGGATGGGGGGGGGGTAAAGAAATTGAAGAGATACATGTGTCAGCCAAGGAATGCCAAGGACTTTCAGCATCCACTAAAAACCAGAAGAGAGGAATGGAATGAATTATCTCTCAACCTCTTGAAGAGATAGCCCTGCCAAAACTCTGATTCCAGGCTTCTGGCCTCTGTAACTGTGAGGGAGCAAATTTCTGTAATTTTTTAAAAATTTTATTAATTTTAATGAACATTTACAGAGATTTTGGATTTTCATTCATTCATTGTTGCACTTTTCTCCCTGCCCAGTTTGCTCCTCTCTGAAAAGCAAAAGAAAAATTCCTTCTTTGGTATACAATCCCCCTGCACCCCTTCCACTGTCCCGAGTACACTCTACTATGCAACCTTAATTCTGGACTCTTGTGATAACCATAATACCCTATCATATATTGCTTTTAAATTATTCTATCCCTATCTGTTTCAATACAGTATGCATAATTTATCCAGTTTTTGTCAGTCTTACCCCAAGCCTGATGTCAGTCCCATTCTACAACAGTGGCACCATGCAGTATTTGTCCTTTTGTGACTGAGATATTTCACTCAGCATAATGTCCTCCAGGGTCACCGATTTTGAATAATATTGCATGAGTTCTTTGTTTTTCAATGTAGCGTAGTATTCCATTGTGTGAATATACCACAGCTTCTCTATCCATTCGTTTGTTGATGGAATCTCTGTAATTTTAAGCCACAAAGTTTGTTAAAATGGTCTTCTCAGTTATTTGCTATGCATCTGAAAGCTGGACAGTGACTAAGGAAGACAGAAGAAGAATCAAGGCCTTTCAATTATGGTGTTGGAGAAGAGTATTGAACATACAGTGGACTACCAAGAGAATAAATGGGCCTGTCCTGGAGACGGTGAAGCCAGGTTGCTCCTTGGAGGCAAGAATTGTGGAAGGCAAGATACTTTGGGTATCTGGCCAGAAGGGACAAGTCCTTAGAGAAGGTCCTCATGCTAGGAAGGGTGGAGGGAAAGCGCAGGAGAGGAAGACCCTGGATATGATGGATTGTCACAGTGACTAGGGGTAATGGGGCCAGGTGTGCTGGAGACAGTGAGACTGGCTCAGGACAGGGCAGGCTTCAGAGCTACTGTTCATGGAGTCGCTATGAGTCTCAGACTACTCAACAGCACGTAACAACAGCAGCGTATCAGCCTTAGGAAAGTAATACGGGAGCCAACTTGAATAAGCTTTCCTGGTAAAAGACGGTGCAACAGAAGCTTCAGTAAAGATACTGACTGACACTAATTGAAAACATCAAGTCTATTAAGTTGGCTATAAGATCATGCTTTAGAAATTTTTTAACACCCTTGAAGATCCAAGGAACTACCTCATTTTGAAACCTGGCAAACAGAAAATACTTCCCTTGCCTTTGCCCTCTGATTCTTAGAGTAGCCAAGAAATTGATGATGTGAAAGAATCTCTTTATAGAAAAGAATGTGGCTCATAAAGAAAAGCTATACTATCATTGTTTCATACTTCTGTGGTGCAGAAAAGCTTAATAATAAGCTTAATAAAACTTTTCTAGCTATGATCTTTGTAATTCCTATCATATGACTTGCTAGGACTGTGTAAATATGTTGTTGTTGTTGCTGTTGTTGTTCTGTGCCTTAGAGTTGGAACGGACCTTTCTGTAGATTTTCAGAGACAATCACAGGGGAGGAGATTGTCCATCCTTCTCCTGCATGTAAATATGAGACGTTTGTGATCCACTGTGTGACTGGGTCGTGTGGTTGTAATGTAGAACTATTTAAATACAGTGTGTAGAACATTAGCATGGGGATTGATCAGTTTTGCCCTCTTGCCAAGGCACTAATTGAGTCATCTACAGGTAGAAAATGGAGACCTTGCAACTGTCAGGAAAGAAGTGTCAGAAATTGCAGCTTGTCTCTGTGATCTGAGATACCTGAATGGAAACTTTTTTGATCCAGGAGAGGCAGATTTGTAACACCTTAGAAGAGGCGAGTGGGAAAAAGGCACTGGATGAGACTGAAGAGCCAGAGAACTGGCGTGAGACTCAGCTGTGAGCTCCCAGCCCACGGTGAGAATGCTGAGTGCTTGTTGGCAGAATGGGTGCC